ACTGGTTCGTTGATACAAATGATTGATGCTTCAAATCACGTGAGAATTGATCTATCACATCACATCATATGAGCACTTTTGTCGGGATTTCAATTAATAAGAAGGCTCAGATCGCTCAGATCTCACCATATAGGGGAAATGGATGTAATGTCGGGCTAAATGCCCCTGATTTGGGCCCATACATAAATTCAGCAATCGACTAAATTTTCAATAGCGACCAAAAATATCCATTAGTACCCGTTAATCTAGATAAAATTGATAAATAGCGGATTTTTAGCGATGGGCCTAACCTTAGATACATTGGCCAACATTAGAGCCATTTCCCCTAGTTAAATCAATTCAAGTTTTTGTATGAACAATACTTTCCGAATGTAGACGAGGGCCCTTATTATGGGTGTCACGTCACGGTGATAACGAAATGAAGTGACGAGTTGTCACTCACGGTGAAGTGATTGCCGTGTAAATCAAATGGGAAACACTTCACCGTGAGTGATAAGTTGTCACTTCACCGTGAAGTGACATCGGTAATAAGGTCCGAGATGCTTGTAAATATTCTGAAGAAATTAATTTGTAAAATAACCAGATTTTATTACAATAAGAACTTGCATCAACTCACAGTATGACTAATTTCAACCGTATCGGTATGTTATTATTCATCGGCACCTTCCTCTTCTTCGTCAAACTCTCCTTCCTCGTCGGCCGTGGCTTCCTGGTACTGCTGATACTCCGACACCAGGTCGTTCATGTTGCTCTCGGCTTCGGTGAACTCCATCTCGTCCATGCCCTCACCGGTGTACCAGTGCAGGAAGGCCTTCCTCCGGAACATGGCCGTGAATTGTTCGGCGATCCGTTTGAAAATTTCCTGAATAGCTGTCGAGTTACCGATGAAGGTTGACGACATCTTCAAGCCACGTGGCGGTATATCGCACACGGCCGTCTTCACGTTACTGGGAATCCATTCCACGAAGTAGCTGCTGTTTTTGTTCTGCACGTTCAACATCTGTTCGTCGACCTCCTTCATGGACATTCGTCCTCGGAAGATGGCCGCGACCGTTAGATATCGACCATGTCGAGGATCGCAGGCAGCCATCATATTTTTAGCGTCGAACATCTGCTGTGTCAGTTCCGGGACGGACAACGCACGATACTGTTGCGATCCTCTAGACGTCAGCGGGGCAAACCCAGTCATGAAGAAGTGTAGCCGTGGGAATGGAACCATATTGACTGCTAATTTGCGGAGATCTGCATTCAACTGACCCGGAAAGCGCAAACACGTAGTAACACCAGACATCGTCGCCGAGACCAGATGATTCAAATCACCGTATGTAGGAGTGGTTAGCTTCAACGTTCGGAAGCAAATATCGTACAGGGCTTCGTTGTCAATGCAGAACGATTCATCGGTGTTTTCAACCAGCTGATGGACACTTAACGTAGCGTTGTATGGCTCTACGACGGTGTCGGACACTTTGGGCGAAGGAACGACAGAGAACGTGTTCATGATACGGTCGGGATATTCTTCGCGAATTTTCGAGATCAGCAGCGTGCCCATGCCTATAAGGAAAAACATGTTTCCTGATGAAGCTCCTAACTTAATATTTTCGAAAATTACCTGAGCCAGTTCCGCCGCCTAGCGAATGTGTGAGCTGAAATCCCTGCAGACAATCGCAGCCCTCGCATTCCTTACGGACTATATCCAGCACGGAATCGACCAGTTCGGCACCCTCGGTGTAGTGTCCTTTGGCCCAGTTGTTACCGGCACCGGATTGCCCAAAAATAAAGTTATCCGGCCGAAACAGTTGACCAAATGGGCCGGCTCGAACGGAATCCATTGTTCCCGGCTCTAGATCGACCAGAACCGCACGAGGGACGTACTTTCCTCCGGTGGCCTCGTTGTAGTACACGTTGATTCGCTCCAGCTGCAGATCGCTGTCCCCGCAGTACGCACCGGTCGCATCGATTCCGTGCTCGTCGGAAATTACCTCCCAGAACTTGGCCCCGATCTGGTTGCCACACTGCCCGGCCTGGATATGCACGATTTCACGCATTCTGCTTCTGTTCTACTGGCGGAAAAGTTTCGATTCTTGATCCGATCCGATTCTTGAAGGCGGAGAGAAATGTTTTAAACTACGTCCGCGGTTCTCGGTGGTGAAACTTGAAGTGAAAATTTTTCTTCCAGTTGCTCACTCAAGGATACGGTTGCTTTGCATGACACACTATGATAAATCCATAGAGTAGTTTTTTTTACTACCGCTCAACATGTGTGCACACGGTGCAAGGATGGGAAAGAGACCAGGGCACGTGCACCGCGAACGACCATATCGTGATTCACTCGCCACATGGGCAGAAGTGAAGAAGATCCCCAGTGAATAGTGGATGAAATGTGCCAAATTATGGAAGAAAATAATTACATATATTGTAGAACAATGGATTTTCAAACATACCGAATTGCGGAATGTAGCATCAAGGTGCTACAGATGAATTAAAATGCATGTTGCATATCGACAAATGCATTACACAAATTTTAGGTCATAGACTGACCTAGACACATGCATTGCATGTTGCATGTTGTATATTCGTCAGGCAGGAATTTAATGGCGTTGGCGCCAGGGTCATCTGATTATAGTAGTATATTATTTAACAGGTACAATAGCAGTTTGATTGAATCAAAAGATTCAGATAGGAAGCATTGATCATACGAAGGAAAGGGTTTTGGATATCTATCAACCATTTTTTTCAAAATTTATAAGTGTCCTAATGTCAATCATAAAATGGCTGGGACAAAAGTTCAACTTCAACAAAAGTACGTTTTGAGATTAAATAAATCACTATGTTTCAACAGTTGGTTCGGAAGTCTTTTACAAACAGGCTTTCAATTACGTATTCAAAAAGTTTATACTAAGATGAAAAATTCGAGCTTTTCAGCTTTTGTAAACTACAGGTACGACAAAACCAAAGATGGATGGAAGATATAATTACGTATTAGGGTGATTCAAAATATTGATTTTGCTTCATCAAGCTCAATCGATTCTTATTTTAGGTCCTGATCATTCTCCCAAAATTTGAGCTCATTTCAAGCTGAACAATGCATTAGGTCCGAAGTAACATTGACAGATTCTCTTCGTCGATTTTCTTTTTGCATCCCTACGGCTATTTTCAGCTATTTTCAACACATAGAGTTCACTATTATCTAGCATCTAATTCGGCAAATACGGCAAGAAACGGTTTTGTATCGCATATTAGCTTATTGTGTGCTCTCCAAGGAATCAAAAATATCTCCAAATGACAAAATAACAAGCGATCAACGAACCGAATAATAACGCTATGTCAGAAGTGGAAAACAATAATGATATCTCGCGTCACTTTTCAAATAGACCAATGTAACAAATGTAAACAAATCGAGTTAAGCGATACAAACTATTGCTCTTCTATCATTGTATATGATACAAAAACATCCATTCAAATTTACTTTCATTTATTTAAGATAATCATTGATCAAAAATTGTCCAATGTACAGTTTAAAATGATGGGTACATGATTGTTACTTCGGTCATTCGGACTGCCTAACATGATTGGTGCTCATTTTCCAAAGGCAGGGCCAATCTAAAGTTAGGTACTATACTCTGAAATCTGTGAAAGGGAATCTAGTATCATGTAGACAAAACGTCCAATGTAACACTCATTGATTATGTCATTGAGAAAAATCGTCCAATGTAACATGTCCGATGTACAACTCGACTTGTCAAAACGTCCTATGTGGTTTTTTCTATGTTGTAACATGAAATTCAAAGTAAAATTGTGATTTTACCGTTTCTTCTGAATTTTCAACGTTATTATACACTGACTACATTAGAAATAGTATTGCAAAATGTATTGTTTTTAAACAGTTAAAATAATAATATAATCTGATAATCTAATAATCTGTCTGTATGTAAAAAAATAACCATAGAGGTACAATTAAATGCATTGCAACCGTACAGTAGAATTTATTGTATTGTCCACAACGATAAAATAATCATAGAATGTATTGTTTCCAGAATTTTTTTTTTTTTTTTTCATTATTATAGTCACTTTAACACTCTTGGGTCATTCGCGACTTGTCCGGGGGTGAGATTTGAACTCGTGACTTTGGCGTGAGAGGTATGGATGTTAACCACTACGCCGGGGTCGCCCCCTATGTTTCCAGAATAGAATCTATGGTAAATGGGGAAATCTGTACAATAGAAGGGGATTGTTATGTTTGTTAACCATACGAGAAATCACTTGTTTCCGAACAAACCTGAGCCATTTACCGTTAATTGTATTGTTGTTCTATTGTTTTTTTTATATCTTTATTAAGGAGACTTTCAGCCGAGTTCTATTGTTGAAAAATTCACCGTATAACACTCATTGATTATGTCATGGAGAAAAATCATCCAATGTTACATGTCCGATGTACAACTTGACTAGTCAAAACGTCCTATGTGTTTTTTTTTCCTTATTGTAGCATGACATTCAAAGTAAAATTGTTGTTTTACCGTTTCTACTGAATTTTCAACGTTATTATTCACTGACTACATTAAAAATAGTATTGCAAAATGTATTGTTTCTAAACAGTTAAAATAATATTCTGTCGAACTTCAGCTTCGATTTTCTCAAAACGGTGGATATGTTACATTGGTCTATTTGAAAAGTGACGCGAGATATGTCGGTGTATTTTGCATATGGGAGTTGGATATATTTAAACGAAACTTGGTTTTAGCGAATTAATTTACATCAGTACTCAGTAGAACCAAACTTGGCTTCATGTCTCTTCCTACTGGTTAGGCAGTACTGTTCTTGCTATTTCATTCATGCCTTTGCCGATAAAGGCAACGGCGAGCTTGATGTCACACGTGCCCTTTTGGTATGCTAAAAAAACGAAAGAGACAACAAATCCGTACTGTTAGGCCTGTCCAAGTAAACTTGACTCACGTCTCACTTGTGCTTGTCATTTTCTTTCATCTGAATATCCTCCGAATCCAAATCCCGCACGCGCCTTGTATTCGATTGTGCACAATTTGCGAATAATAGCGCACGACTAGCACGTTAGATTCCTGTTCACGATTATTTTCTATAACAATCTAGTCTTTGCAAGAAAACATTATGTGCGTGGTGCAAAATATTTACCATTTACCATAGTGTTTGAATAATCAGATTTTTATTGATTGGACAGTGCCAGCGTTAAGGTTCGTTGTTGACAAAGTATTCAGTTAAAACCCACCGCAATGGACTACCAAAAGCGACTCGATATGATGCAGATGTTCCAAGAGCCTGCCGAATACAAACCTCCGAGCACGGTGGAAGAGTTGGCCTGCAGCGTCGATTATCCGAACCTGAACTCGCTGCAGTACCGTTTGACGCGCAGGCAGCCTCCGAATGTATTGCATCCTTGTCTAGAGCATGCTGCACGAAATTGCCATGGCCAGGTCATTGTGGCCGGCAACGATATTATGGGACGGCGCTGGGGATCGAGCTTCTACGGATGGGAAAGCGCCGGGGAGGTTTTGAACGATGCCACAGTTAGTTTCAAACGACAGTGCCGATACTGTGTCACGGCGTTAAAGTTTACGAAAGATCCCAATTTGGTAAGTCCATCTTCAATACTATTATGATAGGTAGGCACCAACAGCATATCTAAAATTAATGCGTTTTCCAGTTTCTCGTGGGAACCGACAAAGGTTCCGTCGAATTGTGGTCCACACGGAACGAGGCTCGCGGTGAAGGTTATTCACTGTACCTGATTGACGGACAGTCGGAGCACATTGAAGGGGTGTCCGCTATGGATGTGCTTGAAGGCGAGGGAAGTAAACTAGTCACCGGATCGAATGATGGATGCTTGAAAATATGGAATTATGCGGCCGATCTCCATTCGGTCACTACAATGACACTGGCACACACGGATGCAATAACCGGACTATCGAATAATCGAGAGGACAGTTCGGTGTTTGTCTCATCCTCTCTGGATCGCTCCGGACTGATGTGGGATTTGAGAAAAACCAGACCAGCATCGGCCTTATTTGAAGGGCATAAGTTTGCCTTTACCGCGGTCTACTGGACAACGCGGCAGGAAGCAAACCAAATTGTCGCCCTCGGAGATGAAGCAGGCAGTGTTCACTTCATCGACATTCGACAGCCGAACATTCCAACGCATTCCGTGAAGGTTTTCAACAGGAAGGTCCATAAGATCTCGTTCAACGGGTAAGTTCACCGATTACAGTTTTATGGTATTTTTGTTTGTAACGATTTTACGTTGCTTCTAGCACGCAATTTGTTGTCCTTGGTAATACGAACCAAGCCAGGTTTTACGATCAAAACCTTACGTTGGTTCACGAGTGTACACCAGCGGAGAATTATCTTCGGGATGTGCTATGGGAGACTGGCAGCTCACATGGGAAGTCAAGCTGCTGGTTGGTCGGCTGGGACTCCTTTTTCCAAACGGTGGAGTTCTGAATACGGACACTGGCAATGTAAATTGACTTAAGCATTATTGTTATCGCCTGTAAAATTTACAATTTCACAAACTTTCACTGCCCCTGATCGCATCGTCCGAAATGAAAGAAAAACTTTACACGAAGAAAATTGCCATTTATGTTTCTAGACGCGTTTCTCATGCAAATTGTTATACTAAAATAAATTGCATGTTTTGAAATACGAAATACGAGAGCTCCAAAAAGTATGTCTGATTTGATGGTCAATATTACAGAATGCGACTGATATGCTATGTATGGTTGGGTTGTGCCACATTCCCCATTTCCACTTCCCCGAATTAGACTCTGCCTTCTTTTGACTGCTGCTCGTTATTTTACATTCGGGCAATGTAATTCGGAGTGATGGCGTTCGGGGTAATGGAGCACAATCCATAATATGAAAGAAGCTGCCAGTCGTTAATGCGTAATAGGTGTTAGTATGCGATTATAGTCAGTTCAGTCTTCTCCTCTTTCTTTTGTACTATGTACCTATTTTATAATTTCTCATATACCTCATAACCAATCAACAACAACGGAACATAAAATAAAATAAATTTATGTAGAATAACTTCCTGAAAAAAGTATATTTGCTGTCAATCTTTTATTTCTATTACTCTACAACCAAGCCTTTTTTCGTTTACTAGGGGTCACATAACGTTGAGCACGTTTCTAATCTTAGAGTAACCTCTATGAGTGTTGATAGTTCCGTTAGAGTACGATGGTGTGAAAATTGTGTATAGAGAGCAGAAAGCGAGCAAAGGTCAATTTTGAGGAAGGCTCGAATCGGGTTGATCATCTCCTTTACCAAACTCCACTGATATCTCCCCCACCACCACTGGCAAAAGAGATTATCGCTGATTTGCTCACGTACCTTCGATGTACGGGAACAGTTCTATCGATTGTTTCACACTCAATCTCTTTTGTCAGTATGAAGACCAAATCGTTGGATGGTCAATACGGACAACCCTTCCAACTTTACGATAGCGGGGCAATTGCTTAAGCAGTGGAGAAAGTCAAAAGTTTCCAATATCTTGTCATCCGGATAGCATCAGATGGCGGGACCAAGAGCGACATGTGTGCACGAATCAAGAAGGCTAGAGCTGCTTTTGCGAGTTTACGAAATGCTAACTAGATAAGTCAACGTACAAATTCGAATTTTTAATTCAACTGCGACGTGATGTGTCCCAGTGGAGAACACTCCAAAGCTGCAAGTCTTCATCAACCGATGCCTGCGGTATATAATAATTTGTGCCTGGTGGCCTCACAAATGAATCTCGAATGTTGAGCTTCATCGTCGATGTCATCAGAAACCGATATCAACAGAATTTCGCGAACGTAAGTGGAGGTGGGTCGGTCACACACTACACTGTATAAAAATTTCATCATCTGATCGAATGAAACCTCAGATCATTCAAATCGAAACATCTAAATCGCTTTTTCGAATGCTATCTACAACCGGATGGCGGTTGTTTTAAAATCCGATGATGTTCGAATACAGGATGAGCATTATTAAGAGAAGTGATCGACCCTTCAGTAGCAATGCGTAATGCTCTCTGCAGAAAGATTGTCACCCTAAATTACACGGTATTGGTTCAGCCCCATAACGCAAATCATTCAAACCGATAATGTAAATAATTATGTTTTACATGCAATTTTCAATTAAAAATCATCCTTTATTTTGATGACAGCCATAAGGATGCTCATCATCTGACGACGAATTCAACCATAAGACAATCATCCGAAATTCGAATGCATATTGTTAAAGGGTTCGAGCAATGTAATAATCATTCGAAGTATCACGGATGTTTTCGTTCAGTGTACGCAGGGGTGGAAACGAAATCTGCAAGCAAGCACTAGATTGGAACCCGACAGGACATCGCAGCAGAGGCAGACCCAGGGGCTCATGGCGTCGGAGCCTCAACAAGGAAATAAAGGAAGTCGACAAGAATCTGGGCCCAGGTCAAGGCAAAAGTGAGCAGCCGAGCCGCTCAGGATGGAAACCTTTTACGTTGGCCCTATGCACCACTACACTATGGGGAAAGTGGTGGCCAAAAATCAAAAAAATTACTTGCTTTGAATGACGTATCTTGTAAACCATTTGATAGCCAGATAGTTCAAACCTAGATGCCCAAAATTTCAGCCCTCTGTGATGAAAACTCATTGCGCCACAGACATCAGACTTAGGAAAATTTTGAAAATTGTAGAAAAAATGCATTTGAAACAAATGCAATTTTCTCAGCGAATAACGGTCTAAACATTGAATTTAATACACCGTTGGAAAGCTAATTGTCTAAACTTTAAGGTCACACGGTTAATTAAAATTGGTTAAAAATGGGCAATTATTGAAAAAAAAATGTTTTTTTGCCTAAGTTGGACTATATCTAACGAGCAGGGCCGAGCAGTCTCAAGAGACCACAACTACGTTTTAGTTTAGGGTCTATACTATCTGCGGAACAAGGATCCAGCTGCGTATGAGCGTCATTTTGGCACAAAGTCGTAAAAATGATTTTTTAAATGTTTTTTTTTTGTTAATTACATATCGATTATACGAGCATTAACCAAAAAAATCGTACAAATTAAACACTGGTTGAAAAGTGGAACTGTTAAATGTCAAATTTGGTCTTAAAAATGTTACACACTTAATTATTATTGTTGTTAAAAATGGGTAAAAACAGACCGAAAATTATCATTACATATAGAAACCGTATCTACCCAACTGGACTAAAAAGTTTTCAATGTTTTCACGATAACATTTTGATATTTTCAATACATAATAACCAACGGAAAAAGAAAGACCACTACCAAAAGGAAATTACCTGTTCGAGTGCCATTTATAATTTCTACCCACTAAACTTAGGTAAAACTTTTATTGATGTTACCTACTTGCATTTAAAAGACGAGGACAATATTTTCAAATCATGAGTTTGTTTTCGGCTTTAACGCTAACAACGTGTGTGTGCTAACAACAATATTGTGCAGTAGTTTAATCGAAAATCTGAAAACAATTGTTTGTGATAATATGGATCATAGGAGCACCACCTCCACCTTTCCTATTTAATCTTATGCACAGCAACCTTATTCTAGTTTTGATTTGCATTTGAACTGTCCCTAAAATTAAAAACAAACTTTCAAGTTTATTGTTCAGGAATAAGTAGCTCATTACTGGGTTTAATACTAGTTACACCTTCCGGATGCGATGAAAATACATAAATATGACTAATTTTATGCTTAACTTACTATAATACCATCAAAAAGTGCGGAAAAACCAATAAAATATTTTTGGCCACCAATTTGTATGGAACCGCCCCATAGTGCACTAGGGGTGTGCAGTAGACTGATGCAAAATTTGAAATTTCTGCTCCACAGTGCTCAAACGGTTCCAAATTGGGCTCTGATTAGCCTCCCAAAATTTGAACTCATTTAGTGAGCAACTGACTTGGCACAAACCATTTGAAGTTTATATGGGAATTACTATGAAGAAACTATAATTTCGGTTCATATCTATCTCAAAATTCACCAGTTCACTCTAATTCAGAAAATGGTAGCTGAGCTTGTTGAAAATGTTCCCAGCTACAACTTTGTTGAAGACCACTTTTCGATCAAATGTAAGGAACAAAAATTATTAATGATTCAAGTCACTGATGTCTTCTGATTATGCTCAATCAACTGTTCAGCAGGCAACATTGGTGTTTATGGCGCGTAGAATAGAGGACAAAAATCATGGCTACTATGTCACACTGCAGAATACAGTGTTGCCCACAATTCAGTTGCTTAATCTTGTCATAAGATTATCAATCTCATAAACAATTAATAACTATTTAATTTGACGTTTTACTGAAAAACCATTTTCTGCAAAGTTGTAGCTGATAAAAATTCCCATAAGAATAACAATAGAATTTGTTAACAGTACAATATGTAAATAGGCTAGAAGACAATGAACAAAAAAAATTGTTTTCCCATAGTAATTTCCATATAAACTCCAAATAGTTTGTGTCAAGTCAGTTTCTTATCAAATGAGTTTAAACTTTCGGAGGCTTATCAGGACCTGATTTGAAACCGTTTGAACACTGTGGAGCGAAAATTTCAAATTTTGCATCAGTATAGTGTGGAGGATACATGAATGAGTGAGTGTATAAAGTGAGCGGCGACCAACGGTTTTACTTTCCCCGAATATTCACCGTGACCTTATTTACTCATTTATGAATTGGCGCTAACCAAATCTTCACTAGTTTGTGGTACAAAATCTAAGCTTTAAACAGACGAAAAATGGATTTTTGTTTCAGGGCCTAATGTATTTTGTTATTGATTCAAACATATTGTATCACTATTTCAACAAAACATGCTTTTGAATCAACAAAATGGTTTTAAGAATCCACAAACAGATTATTGAATCTACAACCGGTTTCTTGATTCAAAAATATTTTTCTTTGAATTAACCGAATATTATATTTAAAACAATATCAAAAATATATTAGGCCCTGAGTCAAAAATATATCCATTTGAACTTAAAAACCATTTCTCTGCGTGGAGTAGTTGAGAGTAATCAAAAATAGGTGACATAACTTTGCAAGGAATGCACATAGCCACATACTGTCTTCAGCAAAAGCATATAGTTTCACTTCGTTTGCATTTATCTAAAATATTATTGGCTCGAAAAATTATCATATCAAATTAATAACTAAATTTAAAAGGGGAACCATAGAAAACGGTCCATATATCCAAAACTATTGGATATAGAAAATTAAAATCTTCAACAAAGTTTCATATTGAGTAGCTCTACAATAGACTGGCCCATAAAAATAAAAGTTCTAATTTTCCACGGGCCAACCTCTAGATTTGTGCCTTTAGGTGACAAAACCATTATCTGAAAGTTTTAGCTCATTTAGTTGTAGAATGAGCTGGCGCTTTCAGTTTGAATTTTGTATGGGGATTATGGATAAAATACATGAAAAAATGACACTCCTACACTCTATCGATCATAAAAAAAGTTTCATTATTCTCGATTTGATTCAGATTTTCAAAACTTGTAGTTCAAACAATCAGTAACAACTTATGAGCATTTTGTTAATGACAATTTCAACCAAATCCCCTACATAAACATTAAATCAAAAGCACCAGTCCGTGTTACGTCAAAACAGCTGAAACATTCAGAGAGTGGTTATCTCACCCAGCGTTGCCAGATATACCGATTTACCGAATTCCAAAATAGATACCGATATACAGATAAGGTTCCTCAGAATACCGATTTTTGAGGCTTTATACCGATTTATACCGATTTTTTTAAATAATCAAAATGATTATTGCCTGCTCGCGCTCGAATTTCAGAGAAAATTATTGTGAGCGACTTGTATCTTTTTGAATATCTAAGAGATAAACTAGCCTATGGCTAAAAATCTCTCAGACAAAGAAATTTTTTTTTTTTTTTTAATATCTCAAATTGTTTGAGCCTTTAATATTCTAAAAAAATTATCTTTAAAAATGTCTTATGGATACTCTTTCGATTAATGTTTCAATGTCCTCACCGTTTTTGGCTACCC